GCCATCGACGTTTCACACTATGATTAACACGCACTAGGATTTTATAACTTACAACAACTACCTTAAATTAGTTTTATTTCTATTATTGCGTTTTATTCATAAGTGTCTTCGAAATGAAAATTCACTTTCTTTCTCTCTCTCTCTCTCTCTCTCTCTCTCCTTTTTTAAATGTCTTCCGACTGAAGAATATGTAAATGAGTATGTGTTAGTTATTATCTCTAATTGCAATGACTAAAATGAAAAAAAAACAATGAGAAAATCCTTCAAACATTTTGCGTTCACTTTTTTCTTACCATTGCCACTTTATCAAAGTTTTTTCAAGCACATTTCAGTCCCTCTTCTCATTCCCAACGACAGTTATATACGATAATGTTGTTGTTGTTGGGATAATCGTCGAGCATTAGGTTGAAACGTTCAGTTTTCTTTTTTTTCTCGATTGCATTTTATAGCTCCGACTCACTTTCTTTTTCTCTTTTGAAAAAAAAGTGAGAAATAATGCATCCGTATGTCAACTTAAGTTAAAATACTCGCTCTCTCTCTCTCTCTCTCTCTCTCTGTCCTCTCTTCTTTTTTCATTCAAGACTGTAGTCGATATAGAGAGTAAGAATGGCATCAGCCGGCTTCATCTTCATTTCGAAATCATGGTTGCTATTGCTATGCAATGCATTTGGTTTGCCAATGTGATTAACACTTTAAAAAAAAACGTAAAATAAAGCTTAACCTCATTCTTTCTCAACTATCAAAATGTCACTTGGCCTGTTCAACTCGGCAAGTGAGTGTATTATATGCAAACGTATATATATAATTGTGTTTCATTCTGTTATTTCGCATCGAAATTTTATTGGGTGTTGATATAACGATAGAGAAGCTATTATCACTAAACAACAGTTGCTACTCATCACAGTGGATGAGGCGAAACGACTAGTGAAATTGAATAGGGTATTACTTATCTCACTAACGAGAGACTTGAGTAAAGCAATCGCGTTCCTATATGCAGTGTTTGAAGCGCGTCTGCTCTATTGATTTAAGACACAGAAGCATTTGTTGACAGATCAATACATCGTTAAAAATCTATGATTCTTTTTTTTATTTTTTATTTTAAAAAAAGAAATCAAAGACGAACGAAGACTTTACGACATTTGTCAATTTGCTTTATAGCTTCTTCTCTCTTATTCTTCTTCTTCTTCTCCTAACGCATTCGAATGATTGGATGTTAGCTCATACATATACATACTAAGATGGTTACGCTTGGCTAACGTTGTGCAATAAAACGAGAGCGGGAAATCAAGATAAAACAAATTATTCAGCAAAAATGAAGAGAAGAAAAAGAACGAGAATGTATAGGACATGATTGATATCTTGTTTTATTGCAATAATCACTAATAAATATAATGCAAAAAAAAAAAGCAATTGGCGAAAATTATCAACGTAGAAGACGACACAGTAATATGTCCTTATTGATTCATTGACAAGGTTTTTTTGCCTATTCTCTCTAGCGCTTTCACTGGTTGGTTGTTTCGGTTCAGTGAGGCTTGAGTGTTACGAAATATTGACTAATAAAATTGATGTTGAGAAAAGAAACGGTGTGATTTACAAAACTCCGCTATGTTCGTTGTCAATTGATTGGTTGTAACGAGTAGGAGAGAAAAAGTGCAGGAGAAAAAGGAAGAGGTCTCCCCCCGATCATTTTCGTGTATCATATCTTCTTTTCTTCTTGTTCTTATTTGAAACGCGAAGACGAGCAAGAAATAGTAAAAGGATTTGTTAATTTTTTTGAAAAAAGCAGAAGAAGAAAAACTTCTACGAAATTGTTCGTTGATTTTAAGCAACGTTCTGGTTTTTTTTGTTGTTGTTGTCTTCTCCAAATTAAAAAAGAAATGGTTTCACGTCATTTAGATAAATTATCTGCAGGTAATACATTGCTTAAGGGACATAAAATGTGTGCAATCATCAAGAAAATTCTAACAACACGTTCTTTCTTTTTTCTTTTTTTTTGCAAATCAAACAAAATGTGTGAAATTTCATTTTTTTTTCTATTATTCTTTTTTCTCTTTGTTCTAGGTCTGGCGTTAAACAATAAATTTCTACCAGTACACTGTGTGGTTACACGTGATGAGTGTCCACAACGTGTATTACAAGATGGCTTCGTCATGATTCTAGCACACACAAAATTTCATGATATTGTTCATGTTGTTTTACGAAGTATGGAAGTTGACGTTGGTAAAATTGAACAAGATGAAAGAATCGATGGTAAGGACAAAGAACGATAGAGAATTATAATCGAAAATCTATTTGTTTAGGCGAAATTTTAATTAAAAATTGGAATCCATTATCTATTGAAACAGTTACAGAAAGTCGTACAGCTACTGTTCAAGATATTTTAGGCGATCTTATGAATATTGCTGTACTACAAATTCGTGTATCTTCAAAGTAAGATAATTAAATGAGCAAAAAGAAAATTTTATTTTATCAATGATTTTTTTTTTCGTGAAAAGATACGCAAATTCATCATCGGAAGATAAACGAACAAATAATTTATTTAAACAATCAATATCATTAATGGTTAGCGATGATAGAGTAAAAAATGAATGTGACTATGATGATGAACAAAGTCCAAATGGTTATTCATCAAATTCAAATACCACTGACGGGTATGAAATCAATAGAGAGAATTAGAATTCACAGAATTATTTTTCATGCTGGTTTTTGTTTTGTTTCTAGTGACAACATTCCATTAAATCTTTCAAAAAAGCCATGTTCATCATCCATAAAACCAAATATTCATTATCCGAATACATTTGCTAGTCTATTATCATTAACCCAACAGCAATATGATTCAGCATCAACAAATCGACGTCAACGTGAACGCACTACATTTGATCCACATGAAGAAACACCACGTCTATTGCAAATATTTACTGATACAAAACATCCTACACGGTATCAAATAGCATCGATATGTGAAACACTTAATGGTTTGCCATGTCGAAAAGGTTTTATCTTCTATTCGTTTTATGATTGAAATAAAAAAAAATATTTTTATGATTTTGAATTTAGGTAAAAAAGCTCTTGAACCTTATAATATTCAATATTGGTTTAAAAATGCTCGGGCGGCACTAAAAAGAAAAAAACGTCGATTTATTCCATCGGAAACAGCAGCCGTACAAGAATATACATCCAAATGCGAACTTGACTCATCGGATGAAATCGACGAAGACGATGTCGATGATCAAATGGACGATACAGATGATAATAATCAAAAGCAACAAAATCATCCTAGCAATTATTATTTTAATTATCTACAAGCATTTGATATATCATTGACGGATCAACAAAAACAGAAATTAACGCATTCCGATGAAAGTAATGATGATGATAATGGAAGTTTAATTAGTAATGAACAATCGCCATCAACGCAAACATCATTTAATTCAACAAAATTAACAACATTCGATTACAGTCGTTCTCGACGCAATAGAATATTTATTGATCCAACAAGCGAAGTACCGAAATTAGAGCAATGGTTTGCTATTGAAACACATCCTGATCATTTATTAATTGAACGTATCTGTTCAGAATTAAATGAAGGTGAATATCGAACAAAATTTCCTAAACTTGAAACCAAACATATACGTTTGTGGTTTAAAAACCATCGAGCTAAAGTAAAACGTATATGTCGTATACAAACACCTAATAATGATAAAACAACAGCAGTAGTAATAGACAATGAAACAGCACCAAAATAGACATAGTTCATAGGAGTTTTCATCTGTGATCAATTTTTCCAATATACTGCTGATAGACACATTCATAAATTCTGTTGCATATTGTGATTTTTCCTTTTTTTTCTTTCTCTTGTGTCCTATTATACTATGTGAATTCTTTCGTTTGTTTTCTTTTTTTTGCGCCTTTGGATAAGATATATTTCCAAATATTAGTATTTCACTCAATATTCATTTTTGCCATGGTTCTCTTTTTTTGCTATCCTTTGCTTGTTGTTGTTTTGTTGTTCATTATTATTTTTTTTTCTCTCTGCGTTTTCATGATGACGGAAAAAACGGCATAAATATATGTATAATCCTGAATTAAATTCTTAGTTGCTCACCGAATATCGAATGGCTGTGCCTCTTTAGTTGGTTTCAAGCCTTGGAAAGCTCATTGAGTTTAAAAAAAAAAGAAAAAAACATCTGCCGCCCTCCGATGATTATTCGAAGATTTTAGTGAGAACTTATGAGATGTAAGAAATTTTAAACTCGCCGAGATATAAAGAAACATGATCAGTCGCTACAACAGAAATTAAAACAGAGTAAAAAGTCTTAATCTTCATTAATCTGTAATAAACAGCTTTCAAAAATATAGTGAAGTACATGAACCACCTGTGTGAGTCTTTTTACTATGTGGAAATAGATGATAAATCTTATCTTCGAGAAGAGAAAGATTTGTTTAATAATTAATTCTAAGACGATGGGCCAAATAATATTTTAGCTGAATGCTGGCCGAATACAATATATGATCAAACCATTCTTAAATGAACTCCCTCGATAATTTTGAGAGAAAAAAATATTTTCCTATTAGTATTATTCATTATCCGCCATTTGAATATTTAATAATATAAAAAAATATTTTCAACAGATTGCAAAAAGGCACTACGACAAAACTTCTCGAGTTATCTATACTATTTGAATTTTCAAATGTTTCACAATCGTTTAAATATTCTTGTCTTTTCATTATAAAATAAACATACTAAACAACGCTACAAAACGATCGTAGCTAATGTCTAGACGTCGATTATTAAACAGTTTAGTTATTGAACTCATTTATCATCGTATAAATCTGATAGTAACTGTTTCATGTCGTAAAATTTTAGTCATGGACAAATAGATTGTAATTTTAAATTAATTTCTATGCTTCTAAATATATAATTTTGTTCGATAGATCTTTCCTCTATCTTAGTTACATATATTTAGAGAATTTTGTTTTGTTTTCTATGATTCGAATCTATGAGTAATAGTCGTGAAAAAGCTATTGAATCATTACGTATGCTACCACGATTTGATTCCCAAGCGATTCTCAATGAAACATATTTAGAACATGTACCTAAGTCGAACTCAATCTATCCATACAATTCATTATCGTTGGAAGACATTTTTTGGCATGAAACAACAAATCAAACAGTATCGGATCCATTAGTAACACATTTACTATTACCAAAATTTCATTCTCATCATCATCAATTAATTTCTTATGACGAAAATCAATCGGCTGATGTGACAAAACTAAATGTTGAAGAAAGTCAAAAAAGATGTCATATGTAATTAATTATACCGAGATGAAATCAATATGAACATATTTGGCTTTTCTAGTGAAATTCTCGAGCCAACCAATGATCGGTCGGGTAGAAATTGTCGAGTTACGATTTATACCAGTACTGAAAAGGTTGATCTCGAGGTGTAAGATTTATCATTGCTTTATTTAGAAATTCAATGACGAGTTTTTCTTTGTTCTAGTCCGCTTATACAATCATGGGGGATACTCTTGAATCTTACAGTCATTTTCGAAAATTACCTAGTTGCAAAGCATTATCAAATTTTCTTGAATATCGTAATAAAATCTATAAACGTGAAAAACTTGCACAATATGCCCCGTTGAAAACTAAAGCATTAATAGAAAGAAAAGATGCCCAACACACTAAAAATATTCCTACAAGAACAATTCATGCATCAGAAAGTCAAACAACTCCTTCATTAATATCAGAAGTACGCATCAAATCTTCATAAATTTTCTTTTCTTGTTCAAACATCTCCTCTCTAAGATCCACCTTCTCCGTAATATTCATAACCTCGGGATATCTTTGCAAACAAATTCAATGTTGCCTTTAAAGTTTTCATGACCTATTAATACATGCATATCGAAAAATATTCGATGTCAATTAGAGATGACGATGATGGCGAACATAGATATTATTATTGATAGTCGTCGACGTAATTGTATATTTTATCATCTATAAAAAAAAACTGCGTTTGCGTGCATCTCTTTATATAGAAGAGAAAGCAGATAAAAAAAAAGAGAGAACGAGATATTCACGTAATAGTACAATGAAAAATACAGTATAACAGTCAATTACTGTTATACAAACTCCTAAATCTCTTCCATAGGATAGACTAAAGAAAAAATTAACCAATAGGAAAATACAAATCATAATACAGCTTAAAACCTTCTCTTTCACGAGTAGAACTAGAGATTTTTATTAGTTTTTAAATCAATAAAATCTCGAAGAAAAAAACAATTATTCTATGTAGGCCGTTTCATTAAACATTACTCCATCAGTTGCTTTCGAAATAACTCCAAATCAATCTGCGGCGATCAAAAAAGAAGAATATATTCAAATACCTTCAGTTGACTTACTCAAACGTTCTCCATCGGAATCCCCTCAACATCATATTAAACCAAAAAGGACCAATGGTTCTGCCAAACAACCTCCATCGCCATCTATCAAAGGTCAGCAGCTATGATCGATTTATAGTTTTCGCCTTGTATCTATCTATTAGTGTTTGGTATCCATTCTCATGTCTCCCTGAGTTGGAATAAAACTAATAACTCTTCTTTTTCATCTTTGTAGGGCCACCTCAATCCAAGTCGAATTTAGATTTTAAAGCGAAAATAGTTCCAAAGAAAACTTTATTAAAAAAACAGAATCAATCAAAATCCAAACATAAATCTTGTGTCATTCTTTAAAACGTCTTTTGTTTTTCATAGACAAGATGTAATTTACGTTGAGTGATTTCGCTTGATTCTTCATAACCAAAATATGGTAAAACAATATGTTGAACTAGATTTTGAAATAATTCTTTAATTAATATGCTCAACGAATTTCCTGTTTGTTTAAAATCTGGAAACGCGTTTGCTTCAAGAAAATAAACTTGATTATTTTCATCAATAAGAAAATCGAATCCATAGATTTCAAAAGCATTTCTTATCGGTTGAAATACAGTTATTTCATTATGAAGACCAGTAAAAATATCTTTGACAATTGATTTTATTTGTTCAAATATACGTGAGCGTAGATCGTCGTCCATGCTTTCTAATGAAAAAAATTCTTTCACTAAATCCTCTTCATCTATTTTTGATTCAATTTGTACGCATGTATTTGTTATATGACGAAGACGATCGAATGTTTGATCATTATCAGCAGCATCATAGGGAAATGATGCAAATAGAGCTAATATACCATCATAGACATAAATACGAAGATTTCTTTCGGCAACAACATAAACACGTAAATGAAATTTTCGATTTTGATATATTGGAAGAAGTTTAGGATTTTTTATATAACGTTGAACGATCCATTCGCGTACATTGGCAATACTCTCATCGTCGTCATCGTATTTGCTTGTAAAAAATTCTTCTAATTCTGCTTGAGTATAGAAAATACATAGTTCACTTGCCTTATCTAATATTGATGCCTTAAGGATAAAAGGAATCGGCTCAGTGTTTTCTTTTGTATTTGCTTCCAAAGTATCTCGCAATTCGAACGCTTCATTGAGTGCTTCCTCTAGATAATCCGGGTGTATTAGATCCAGTATATGAGTTTCAGGATAGTGATCACGTAGAACTGAGTTGGGTTGCTAATGAACATCGAAGCAAAGCAAAACAAAGAATATTGATCAATAACAACAAATTAGTTTTCTTACTTTAGCTAAATATTTTTGAACGAACATTGCAAAATGAGCTTTACGTAAAAGACCTTTTCGTATGCAATATGAATTGGCTAAAATTTTTTTCTTATTCGATTCTTTAATTAGACGATAGAGCATATCAAAATCGAGTTCTTCATATTCGAGCCAGTAGAGCGTATTATCATCATTCAAGGTCGATGAATCTGTTAGAGTAAATAAATCATTTCTTTCTTCAAGAACATTACGAATAAGTTCATTCGTATAAGGACAATTCATTTTCAGATGAACTTTGATACTCATCTTTATTCCGTATCTAAAATAGAAAAATAAATAAAATTTGTATTACTGTTATTCAATAATCTTTTTATAATCGAGTTACTGCATAATTGAGTTTTCGAATAACGATCTAATAAAATTCATTGGAAAATTCTAATTTAATGACGATTTAAATTTTGAATAAGATACTGTTAGAAATAGTATTCGACAGCATGCGATCTTGTTTTAATTTCTTCCTGTTGTTCAAGTCTACATGTAAATTACATAATTAGATAGCACAAGATTTGCTTTGATTCGATCCGAAGAAGAATAGAATAAATTTAATCAAACAATTTTCTCAGTAACATCTAATATAATAGTTCCATAGATTGCTTGATTGAATACTTATTATTTTTGTTATATCAATAAGAAATCTTCATTCAACAAATTTTATCCTCAATGACACTTTTGCTCATTGCTGATATTAAAATATATTTACTACAACGCAAATCATAAACCTCGAAACTATTTTTTAGACATCTTGTGTAATGTTTGTCGCATCGACCATTCTTTTTGAAAATTCTGTTTCGTTGATTTTTAACAGAGATGTCTAATTAACCAAATCTTTTCTATAATTATAAAATAATTGACTTTTCTAAGATGGTAATTTTTTCTTCGTCTAATAATGACTTCAACAGGCCTCTAATTTTCTTACTCTACATGCTTCTTTTGATTTACCTAACAAGTACTTAATAAAACAAGCAAAAAAAAAATGGTTGCATTTCCGACCTAGATTCGAAAATAAAAATGGATATTAGGCCATTTGTAATTGAAACTAACAAAAATTATCTTAGTTTAGATACATCGTTAGATAAAATTCAATATGATAATCATCAAATTATTTCATCGGTCTTTCGTGAAATAAATAATGAAATACGTCATTCGAGAATTAACGGTAATAATCATCCATGGAAACGTCATTTAAAAAGTTACCATTAAATTACGCATCGGATAATTATTAAAATAGATTCGATGTCTGTGTTTCATTGACATGATTCAACGGACCCATTTAGTTTTCAATGACTTTTTCTCGTGGATGCTATTTCACTTTGACTCTTAATTTGCTCATTGCCGTCCGCAGAGATATATTAGCTGTATTAAAATATGCAAAAAAACGAACAAGAATCTATAGCTGAATGAAATTATTAAATAAAAATGTTTACTAAATTTTTTATTTTTTGTCTTGTAATCTTCCATCTCTCGACACTTCAGGTTCTTCTGTCATATGGATAATTCTTTCTGATGAATATGGGAAAACGTTTTCTTTTCCATTTCTCACAGTTAATTGATTTATTTAATTACAATGAAGTAGAAGTTAATATGTCTTTAATAACAAGATATCTAATACAAACGTCGTCTGAATGTTAAATACAACTAATCTTTTATCTTTGTATAGGTAAATTCTTTGAGGTTTTCTGATATACGTATATTTAAATAATTATCGAAAGAGAAGGGGGGGGAGGAAGAGCTACCTAGAAAGTACTCTCATACCTTCCGTTTCTCCTGTTGTGAGATAAAAAGAGAAAGAACTAGCGTAAAATTATTCGTAATAGCATGTCTTGAAAGCTAAACGATGTTAAAAGGACTAAAAGCACATCATAATTTTAAACACGCAAATGCTCGATGATTGAATTTCATGTTGTTTTTTGTTATTCAAATTCGATGTTAATAGTTCATTCAGTTTTTGTAATAATGTCATTCGCCTGATTTGTTCTCTTTGGCAAAAAACGAGATGTCTACGCTAAACATTTATATATATAGATATATAAACATACCCCTGAAAAGGAAAGAACAAAACTCTAAGCATCCACTAAAAAAGAGAAAAAGAAGTAGAGATTATACTCTTTATCGTTAAAGAAAAGCAACTATTATCTTTTCTTCTATTCTAATAATGCCAGAACGAGCCATTCTATGATAGTTCTTGTCGCGGCAACACTCTAGTGCTTCATACCTTTTCTGACAGTTGACATAGATGAGCACATATTTCTCATAAGATGTGGCTTATGCTATTTACGCATTATTTATTTGGCTATGTCGGTAAGGAAAAGAAAAAAATTTCTAATCTAATTGTATTAAATAATCTCATTGTACTTGCAGGTACAGCTGTTTGTTCTATCGGACTAGTTCTTGCTCTATGTTCCGTATATATATTTACTCGTCGTCATATGGTAAGTTTATTAGATCACTTTTAAGAAAGAAAAAACAAACGACTCGATTCATACTGAATTTTTAATTCTTGCAGCGAAGTACCGTATCGACATATTTAGCCTGTTTAAGTATTAGTGATAGTTTTTTATTATTATTGTGTCTTGTTCTTGCCATCAATGCTTCAATTCATCCGAATCAACAAAATGAATTATTCTATTCGTCACGTCTCCATAAACGTCTCTTTCCGTATGTTTATCCTTGTATCATTTGGTTTCAATTTACTAGTGTTTGGATAACTGTCGCATTCGCTATTGATCGATGGTTTGCTATTAAATGGCCTATGCTACATTATACATATAGTTCGAAACGAGCCTGGTAAGATTTTCTTTTAAAGTTTCTTGCAATTGACATGAAAGAAGAAATTCGAAGTTGTTCCTAGAATGTTATATTTCTTAGAATTTCAAAGATAACCGTTTTCCATCAGTTTCTTTTCCTGTTTTTTTTTGTTTTTAGTTATATTGTTGGTGCAATTTATTGTTTCGGCTTAATATATTCATTACCAAGATTTTTCGAATATCAAACTAAAGTTCAACATGAAAAATTTATAGGCGTTGAGAATTTTACTGAAAGCGTCGATTTCTTATTTATCGAAAATAAAGTACTCCATAACCCTCTCTATCATTATATTGTTCATCTTAGTAAGAGGATTTTGTGGGGATTTTCCTATAAATTGAATTTTCTTCTTCTTTTTCTTCGTTCAGTTCTCTATAGTATTTTTCAAAGTATATTGCCATTCTTAATGTTATCCTATTTCAATGTTGAACTCATTCGAAGTATTAATGCAAGCTCAAATTTTCTTAAACATTTTACATCATTACATGTACAAAATTCACGTATAGAACGTGAAACAAATGTATCTCGCCATCGTGAAGGTGCAATAACACGCTCAGTTATATGTTTAATCGCTTTGTTTACATTTTGTCAAGTTCCTGCATCGATTCTTCATTATCTCTATGTGTTCTATCGAAATCATCCAATATTATACGTTTCCTATGATATATCAAACTTTTTGATTCTTTTTAATAGTGCAGTAAGAAGAAAATTGATTCGTTTTGAATCATTCGAAAAAAAATTCCTTTTTCTATTCGAGGTGAACTTTTTTATTTTTACGTATTTCAATCGACGATTTCGACGTGAATTAACTCGTATTTGTTTTCATATAAAAAAGAGTCGAGGTTCACTTTTACGTACACCCAGTCGGCTGTCAATGCGACGAACAAATTCATCGATTCGAAATGTACAACAAAACTCGCAATTAGCATATGTGAGTATTGCCTAGCGATGAAACTCATTATTCTACTGAATTATGAAGATTTTTTCTTATGTCTAATTATCAGATAATCTCTTCGACAAGGAAGGAAGGATATCACTAAGAAAAGAAGCTGAGGGAGAAAAAACTTACTCTCATGAATCTGCATTTTTTTTCTATATTTAAAGATAACACCAGTAAATTTATGGGAATCTCAAACACGAAATAATCATCTCCTACAGCAACTATGTGGTGGAAGACGTCGTGAAAGTGTAAATGAACTAAGAAAAAAATCTTCCGATATATCGATACTATCTCAATATCAACTTCAACCAATGAATACTTATTCAGAATCATTAATTAATTTACGTTTGAATAGTAATCGAATACAACGTAACAAAAGTTTTCCTTCAAAAAAGCATGCTCATAGAAAACAAAAAAAAATTTCCTATCGAACCGACCAAGTAAATTTCTCAATTACGTCAAAATGTAGTCGCCGTTATAGTGATCGTCTATCGCTTAATAATAAAAGAAATTCTTTAATAATCTATAACAATCCACAGAATTATCGTGCACGGCAATTACATTATGTTACATATAGGCATGATCAAAATCGATCGAATTCTATGTTCGCACACAATCCACTGAAAACTTGTACGGCAACAACGATGTTAAAATGAATAATTTCGAACAATTATTTGGTGTTGTAAGATAATTAATTTAATTTCAAATAAAAAAAGAACAAACGCATAGAAAACATACTCCTGTAAACATATTATTCGACATATGATCTCATCAAAAATATTCTTTTAAGACCCAGTATAGTTTCATTTATTTATAGATATTTCTATTGAAACCTAGAAAAGAATTAATTCATTAGCTAGAAATTTCATCAATAAGATAGAAGTCTACTTCTTTATCTATTGTATTGTTTAGACAATAATGCAACTCCTCTACTCCTTACGGTCTATTATTCTTCTTCCTATTAAAAACAAAACCACTAAACAATTAATGGATTATTAAGACCTAAAACAGTCTTTCCATAAATTAACGAGGGAACATACCCAAGTGATTCGCACCATTTGACCTCATACTTTGCTCATAGGTAGGATCCAATGAGATTAGAAAAAGACTAAAAGATTTTGTGCACTTAGACCTTTCCTTTAAAGTTATGACCGCTTTACTGAATTTTCGACCTTGGTCTCGTTATTTATACAAAAATTGAATGAAGAAATTCTCAGGCTGAAATTTTCTCTAACAATAGGTCTGATTTGTGTTAGAAAATTGTAAAACTTTCAGTTAAAATTGATGCTTTCTTTTAGAGATATTGCAGATTGAATAAAACGGCCACGGTAACAAAATTATCGTATAATTGACTTTTCTTCAATCTGCAATATCTCCAGGGACGGCGCGAAGCAACAAAAATATAGGGGGATTACTTGAAAACGGGAGGTTTTTTTTCAAAAATCGGAGTAAATCAATAAAAATCTCTTCTATTTTCTTCAAAAATCGGAGTAAATTAATAAAAATCCCTTCTATTTTCTTCAAATCGGAGTAAAATTGAAACAAAAATTTCCAAAGTTGGGCCCCCCCCNAACACAAATCAGACCTATTGTTAGAGAAAATTTCAGCCTGAGAATTTCTTCATTCAATTTTTGTATAAATAACGAGACCAAGGTCGAAAATTCAGTAAAACGGTCATAACTTTAAAGGAAAGGTCTAAGTGCACAAAATCTTTTAGTCTTTTTCTAGTCTCATTGGATCCTACCTATGAGCAAAGTATGAGGCCAAATGGTGCGAATCACTTGTGAATGTTCCCTCGTAAGGCTATTATGTCGTATTCAAGAACTTCTGTAGCTAATACTGTTTTAGACGTCATTTTAATAACTTTGCACTATCTACTATCTACTACATATAACATAGAAGCATTCCTATAGTTTATTCATTCGAATAGAAACGTATAATTGCTTCAGAAAAATTCTCAACAAAACAGAACGTCGTATCATCAAAAAATAATCTAGGAACTTTTATTCATAATGGCGGAAACAGTAAACTGCAGGATAGTTATCGAGTTCTCACTGTAGTATGATTGCATACCTAACGAGCTCTTCAGTCACTTCAAACAAAAGAAATCCAATTAACCTATTTAATTTCCATACCAATCATTATCCATTTCTACTACACATACAATATAAAATAATATAGTTTTCTAATTAGGATAATCATTATAATTCCTTTTTCAAAAATAAAAACAAAGAGATATGACTAGATCAGTATAAATTTTATTATAGGTTGGCAAAAACAACAAATTACAAATAGAATATTAACATGTTTTTGTAGCACTCGTTTCTTCGGCACTAATATCAGCTATTAATGATTGAAGTAATGTCAATACAGTAACAAATACTCCAAGAGCAACATAAAAAATTGCAATACACGCTGAGATAATATTCCCCCATGAATTCACCCAGTTTTGATCAACATGAAAATATAAACAAAGACCTAAACCATAAAAATTCTATTATCCGTTTCAAAAAAAAAAGAAACCTTAGTGTTTTTTTTAATAACTTTTGAACGGAAGATGATAGAGAGCTGACATTTTCAAAATTGGACAGAGAGATGTTGGGGCCAGATTTCAGCGCAAAAATNCTTTCGATCTAGACAAGACCCAACTTTCTATCATATTTGCTTGAGGAGTTAGACAGCCCTAGTCGAACTTTGTTTTGCAAGCGCATGCAATTTTTGACTTTCTTGATCAAGAAAGTCATGCGCTATGGACACATCTTGAGCTTAAGTCTTGCAAGTGCATGAAAAAAAAAGTTCGACTAGGGGGATCTCAGTAAAACCCGTCTAACTCATCAAGCAAATATGATAGAAAGTTGGGTCTTGTCTAGATCGAAAGAGAACACTTTTTTTACCTAATAGTCATGACGGAATCCATGACAATCTCCGAATTGCGTTCACTATATTGTTTGCAAAATGTCCGTTGGGATTTCATATGATTGATCCATTGTGAACCAATCAAATTTTTGCGCTGAAATCTGGCCCCAACATCTCTCTGTCCAATTTTGAAAATCTCAGCTCTCTATCATGTTTCGTTCAAAAGTTATTTAAAAAAACACTAAGGTTTCTTTTTTTCTTTGAAACAGATAATAATTTAAAAAAAAATATGAAATACTCGTCATACCTGGAAATATAAACATGAAGCTAGCTGCAAGTGCACCTAAATAATGTATAGCTATTGAAATATTAGGTAAGAAAACTGCACCAGCTAAAGTTGAAAAAAACCAAACACAAACAATGAGAAATCGACGTTTTATTGAATGTCGTGGATCTGTCGCTATCAACGATGCAGCCGTTTCATTCGATAATGAATCAATTGCAGTTCTAAAACAAATACAAAAAACAAATACTCGAACTTATTTAACAGTCATTCTTTTACCTTCCACAAAATAAATTTACTGGATAAGCTGTATAAGTTTTAATTGCAACCATAATTATTGCAATGAGTACAACCGATGATATCGGTTGATAAGACATTAAAATGTCATGATCAACTTTAGTACCAAATGTAAGATAACCGCATATAGCTACTGAACAATAACTGAGAATGAGAATTATTGTTGATGCTAATGTTGCTTTGACACAGTCAGCACGATTTTTTAATGAAACAAAAACTGGTACAGCATTTACATGTGCCTATAAAATAATCATTAAATGAAAATTTTTTAGAAAAAAAAGCTACGCGAACAAACTTGATAACAAAAACACATTGTTGGCAAGACTAAGAATATATCTGTCCATGAGTCGGGACTAAAATCATCGAAAAGAGACAATGATATATTTGATAAATCTCGATTTTTACCTTTTTTTAACAATTACATCTGTTGGTCTCTTAATAAAATATTCAATCGGTACCATAATAACAACATAAATAATGGCTAATACACCTAGCATGCTAAATAGAAACATGTATTAGAGAGATAAGTATTTAGGCTAAATAATGGCTGAACATAGCCTATTTGTATCAAACATTAACTCAAGAAAATTGTTTCTCTCACTTATTCCGTTGGATAAGTTTTATTGAAAACAATCTATTGTTTTAACAAGCAGCAAGAAAATATCACGGAAAAAAAATTAAGCATCATCTAGAAAAATGGAAAATCGCAAAGACAAAGAGTTTAAAAAAGAAGTATTTATAAATATATCGTTAACGGATGCACTTAAAGTCAATTAGAGAGCAGGTTTAAATAATTGAAACAATTTCATATCGGAGGAGATGCTATGGAGTTCTCACTTACGTCTTTGGGTACAATGTTTAAAAACAAACTAATCATAAAAAAGACAATATGTTTGAAAATAATAGAAGTCTTAAACTCCTAGTAAACTGCATTTAGTCGGATGACTACATTTATACCATAGATCTAGAAGTTATTTGTCTGCGGTACTAATGAAAATTAATTTCTTGTGTTTTTTGCTCTTTGACCTTTTCTCAGCACAGTTCAATGCAGTAAAGATAGATCGAAGAATGCTTGAGGATGTCTTACGAGGGGCTACTGGACAATTCGTCGCATGGCTAATTAAATGTACCCAGGTCGTGGCGGTACGGCGAGACGACCAGAAAAGGCTGGAAGGGGGAAGCAGTATTCCGGCAGGAACCGACAACCAATCATGGGGAAAACTCCGAAAATTTTCCTCCGGAATACGGTGATTTTTCCGCATATTTCCGGCTGGTTCCTACAGTATTCGGTGACCGGAACGATTGACCAGGGTAACACAATTAATGTAGAGATAGAGAGAAAAATTTATTCATAGAGAAGTCTAATGAAAATCAGCTTTTTAAAGTTAGATTTACCTTTGCAATCTTGGCTGTAATATCGAAAAATCATTTTCGCAAAATCTTTTCGCTCTAAAGTACAATTGTAATCTTCATAAGTAAGCATAGACTTTTCTTTCTCGCTCGAAAACTTCTTGATTGTACTCGCTCTTCGTGAAATAATAGTACATAATTATATTAGTATTGAAAACAAGTGACTTTTTTACTTTCTAGAATAACTTTATACTTAATTTTCAAGCTAATTGTTTTTTTCTATTATTCGAAAATACTATTAGAATATTCATTTTTTGCTCGGCGAGGATAACAGAGTTATAATTATAATTTTATACATTAATTGAAACACGGTTTTAGTTAAGTCAATTATCAGAAGGGCATGGTACAGCTCTAATCAACTACAGTACATTCGCAACGAATAGTGTGATAACAAATTGTCCATGCGACGAATTCACCTACCAAAGTATCTCAAATATATACAAATTAGCGGTCCAGAGCAAACGAATCAAAAAATTTATTCGCTTTAATTTTTTGATTCGTTTACTCTGAGCCGCTAATTTGTATACATTTGAGATACCAATCCTTGACCTGCACATCCATTTACTTTTGTTTAAAATTCCAGAGACACTGCTGGGTCTTTCTTCGTTAGTTTTATTGAAATAACTAATTTGAAAATTTGCGAGAAACTTCTCATGCTAAATTGCTTGTCAGAATCCAATCAGTGTCGTGGTTGATAGGAAAATCTATTTAGTTGTGACGTCTGCCTATCTTATCTGTTCTAGATGTTTTCTTAAGGTTATCTCAACCAAAAAATAGTTCAGCAAGATGAAATTTTCACGATATGATAAAATCACGCTTTAGTTATAATTAAACCTTTAATTGTCTCTCGTGATGTTATTCGGAAATACTCAATTAATACAAATGAAAAGGAAGTCAATGTCAAAACGAAGAATGATATATTGAACTTCATTATTATGCTTAATCTCTGTTTGTTTCGAAAGGCATGGCATAGGTTTAAATTCTTATTTTTGGAACACTGTGTACGAATGACAGATCCGATGCCTCGAAAAGTTTTTAAATCCTATTTCTCTGCTTGTACACACGCCTCATCATGTAATATTAGTATGGTATTTAATCTAAACAAGAAGAGACAATCTAGCATGACTGTATCATCAACAAAACAAAAGGTCACGAATTACATTTTAAGTAGATGGATAAAATGATTTTTACTCAAATACCTTGGAATTTGAAGAAATTTAATTGTTTTTGAAAAACATAATGGAAGTATAAAAACTAATGATGTAATTGGTATTGTAAATCGCCGATCAAAATACCAATGACGACAAAATAATGGATCGAAAAAGGTGAGAACTAAATCAAATAAAATGGTTATTGAAAATCTTTTAATTTACTTGCATACATCGATCTAATTGATCTCCGATGATAATAAAAAAAATTATACTCAAGCCGTACCTATAATACAAAGCAAAATTTTTCTCATTATAAAAATCTGTTGTTTTTTTTTCTTTATAAATTAATTTACATATATAATATAATACAAACAGAGCAAATTCTTTGCCACACTTTTCCACATTTCATAAGAACAAATGTTTCATATGTGGATATCGATGGATCACAACATACAAATAAAATAGCATAGGCACCAAGTACCAAAACTACAACAATCTATTTTTACAACATGAACACAAAACTATAGTAGCAATTCATATTTAGATAATTACCCCGTGAAGAATTGAACTAAAGAATATACCGCCAGCATCATCATAAGCTTTGGCTATATTCAGAAGGCCAGCCTAATAATTATGAAAAACAATTCGATAGGATAACCAGAAGAAACTGACAGTTTTCTTTTATCGTTTTATATTTTAATCTCTATCTAGGTTTTATTGAGGAAGAAATCAGAGCTTATGATCAGTTTTCGATATTACGAATAATAACTTAATTATATTATGTATTTCGTGCTTTACAATACTAAAAAGTAAAGTTAAAGTTATTTGTTCTTCATTTGTGATTGCCGATGAAAACATCTTGAACTGATCGCAAAGAATCTCGATTAACTGGCAAAATGAAAATAAGTTGTTTACTACAATCTACTTCTATTGTGTAAAACTGAATATTAAAGCGAAAAAACTGATTGGATAACTTACACCCATAGCTGCATTCACAATAAGACCCGCAGCCATAATCCATGATATAGATGCTAGAAAGGAAATCAAATTAATAATTATTAATTTAAATTAAATGCCTACATTTTGTTCTGATAGATACGTCTAATATATTATCTGAATTGAGTAAAGCTAAATTTTCGTCATCTATGATTCCGGGTGTATCCGATTGAACATCCATCGTTCTTTTGGATTTATTTTTTGCAACTAAATAAACAATGGGCGAAGGGTAGAAGTGTATCTAGAACAAAGAAACTTCAAGAACAGAACAAAAGATAAGAAGAAGAAGAAAAAACCAAGTCTGAAATCTTTCGCCTTGAGCTAAAAATAATGATATTTCCACTTCTTCATTTTTATCTTTTCGATGTAGTATTGCGTTTCGTATACTCGTAGGACCCTTGATGTAACTCGTGTTGTAATTATGTATTCAACAGAATCAGATAGATGAATCAATATGATTGATTTATTATTTTGGTAAAAAAGAAAGGTGAGCTTAATATAGATAAAATATTGTATGATTTTAAGAAATTCATAGAATATACATACAATACTATGTAAATTTGATCTTTTGATATTCAAAACTCAAGATTTCATTCCATTTTTTTTTTGTATAATTTATGTGAATAATTATTAATTTAGTTTATGACGAATCGAATATTCCTCCAAAGCTTGATACAATATTTTTCAGTTAGATTTTTATAATGACTCATAGTCGTTTTTCATCGAGAAACACAGGAAATTTAGAGAATAAAATCAGTTGAATCGGAATCCAGAATAACCATTTCAAATTTCATCTCAGAAAAGAGTCATGTGATCTAAAAGATAAAAATGTACTTATACAATTTTTTTCGGCCGGAAATTTATTCCAGGATTCAATTTAAAAACAAAATAAAAACTAAATGTTCATTTAAAAATTTATTTCGCCAAACCAGATCATTGTGTACGATAGCATCAGTAGCGAGCGACAAACTACTATTTTTCATTTGTCAACGTTTGGAACCAATAGAAATACAAAACGATATAAATATACTAGAAAAGAAAAGAAAACCGATTTTGGAAAATAAAATATGCGATATGGCTGATTATCAGCCAACTAATTTCATAATTAAATAAAATTTTCAATAGAGTCTTTAAGGAATCAATATGTATCATGGTGAGTAAAATGAGACTTTCTCATTTTCGGTAGTAAAGTGTTCAAAACAAAATGTTTTAAATAATTCATGTTCAAGTTTCAGCAATATTATCAAAAAAAGAAAATAGATTGAATACGTGATATCTATTACTATACAGAAAGCTAATATTCTTATTTTGTGTTTCTTTTTGTTTTCCCCAGTTCTATAGAACTGTGTTGAACTTTTAAACCTCGAGACTTATTTGATAAGTGTGATCATATTTTTTTCTTCCTTCTTAAAGCAAATGTTTGATTTTGCCCTCTTTCATCTAGATTAAAGTATTTATTTTTGTATATTAATGTCAAATAAAATTTTTACAATAGATCACTTCAATGTGGCAGGTCGATAGACATTGAATAGCGTTAGATTTTACAGGTTATAAGACCAATCGTATGTTTCTCAGGATGACATTTTCCGATTAGTTTCATAAGAAGATAAAGAGTTAAGTCGAAATGACAAGAGATTAGTGTTTCATAGAGCTCAGCAAATGCAACAGTACTTCGTACAGTCGAAGCGAGTATTTGCAATCTATTTGACACAAAAGAATCTTCAGTCACAAAAGTGATTTTTCGATCTGCCTGAGGATTTCATGAGTGGCATTCTAGTTTTTTGGTAAAAAATAATCATGTACTGGTGACATCTTCTTTTATCTCTTTATATGTCGTTCATTCAGCAAGTGTTCTTATCCGCCTCATAATATTATTATTTTCTTTTACTTTATCATGTGAGAAGGAATACAGATTTCCTATTTGAAAATCTCCGCCTTGTAGAAGTAAGTTTAATTGCGAAAACATATTGATCTAAAAATTTCAAATATTTAATGAACACCATTGATCGACTAATCCACAGGGGATTATTCAATTTGTTGTTTAGTGAATCATCGATGATTTACAAAAATATTTCTTCTCTCATCTTAACAATTGAAGATTAAGTCAATAAAAACATCCTTTAACAAAACTATAAATAGATTGACTTCGATAAAAGATCAATCTCAACAGTTAATGAATGAAGGTAAACTATTAGAAAGTATCTCGATGTTTTCACCAAAGAAGAAATTGTGTGAAATATAAGATGACATAATATTTGTAAGACTTATATTAACCTTGTCTTCAAACCAAATATTATGACTTCACTATTTTATTTTGACACACTCAATAAAAGAAAAATATTAGTTTTGTGTTCTCTAGATAACGCAAAAAAAACACAGTGAGTGTACCTCGTGCAATTAAATATGCTATCAATTTTCATTAAAATGATAAAACCTCAATTTTTTTCTCTTTTGAAAAAAGAAGAATCACTCTCATCGATACTTGATGTAGTAAATTTGTAGTTCAATAAAATAAGATCTCATTGATAGTACTCATATTGTTGAAATATCACTCCTTATGTCTATAGTGATTTTGTTTTTCTTTATTTTAGACAAAGCATTAGATTTAAATACGTCGTGACAAACAACGTACATAAGCAGCTACACACGAATCTCTTGAATACACTCACTCGATGATTTATTTCAGTAACAATAATACCATTGATAACTAACCAATTCATAAAAATATACTTTTTTATAGTAAAAAATCTGTTTTCTGTAGCATTGCAAACGAAGAATATTTTTCTAAATATAATCGCACAGGTTTGCGTTAAATCGTACTGTGTTTATTAAATTTTTATGTCTACCGAGATAATATGCATTAACATGAACAATTTTCTTCTCTTTCTAGTATTTATTATTTGAGTATGCTAAACAGTGACATTAAACATGTTTGATTCATTCAAGGTGAGCTAAATTAGGATGAAGAAAATATTTATTCTTTCTAAACTTATGATTATCATTTTAGGATCCGGGATTTTTAAGTATAAGCGAAAAAGCTGACCGTGAAACATTAAGTACAATTGAACATAACTATTATAACGAAGATGATTTCGATGCAAAAGAATATGAACTTCAAGTAAGGAAGTTTCGTTTTTTAGCCTTTAATTTCTTGAGATTTAATTATTCTTAAATTAGAAATTACTTTCATCACAAGCTGGTAATCCGTTTTTAAATCTTTCCGATGTAACTACACGTCGAGACTGTCTTGCTAATCAATTAGCAGTCGTAAGTAAAATAAATATCGAAAAGAAACAGGACGCTTCTTTATTCTCTCGGTCGATCTTATAGGTAACAAAGCGCGTATCAAAATTAATTCTCGAAAATAGTTCATCGTACACTGCAGAATTACAACGTGTTACTGTGTTAACAAGTGCATTAGAAGGTTCTATTGAAACATGTCATAGAGCTCGAAGGTTAGGAGAAAATTTTACTAAAGAAAATCATAGCTAATTCTATTGTATGTTTGTAGAAACCTACGCCGTGCACAATATCAGATAACAACACGAAATTTAGGGTTAATTAGAAATGCTATGCGTAAACAGCAATGGATTAATGTTCTTCGGAATATTGAAAAATTAAAAAAACTAGTTTGTATCTGCCGTTTTTTCGTTTCATAAAGTATTGAAAGACGGAATTTCCTTTTAGCATAGTATCGATCAAAAATTGAAAGAAATGGTTAAGGTAAAATAAATTTACCAAAAGATTTTTGATCATTTCTACCTTATTAATTTAGCACGAAGACTTTGTTGGTGCAATTCAATTATGTACACAATGTGAAAATACTGTTCTTCATTATAAAGAATATACATGTATAGGGTATGGAAAATATTCCTTTCTTTAGTGAATTTCCTCTAAAAAAAAAAGAAGACATTGAGCGATGAATAAGTGCGCTTTCGTAGTAACTAATGATAGTGATAGTTAAATTATTGGAAAGATGTTTTTCTCTGTTGTAGGGATCTTTCGACGAAACTTCAAGATACATTAGATTTTATTGAAGAATCTATCGATGTAACATTAGCTAAACTTTGTTCAAATTTCAATCCACATACATATCAACGTTTACTAAATGCGTATCGTGTACTTGGAAAATCATTAACGTTTATGGATCAATTACAAATGCATTTTGTTAATGTTGTACAAACACGTGCATTAGATATTCTATTAAAAACCGTTGGAACACATAACGATCAAAATCTATCATCGTATAATGATTTATGCAAAGTAAATTGCTTTATTCTTGTTCTCGCATATACACTGTGATAGATAATACTTGAGTAGCATATTATATTAATGGTATAATCGTAATTGCGCAGTCTACTGTAGGAATCATTCATTAATAAATTAGAGTAGTTGTTTTTAGATAATTTTAATTATTAGCAGCAGTTATTTTGTGTTTTACATATTTATCTTTCAGAGATCGGATCAACAACGTTGAATATTTGCTTAATCTGTTGTTTTATAGTAACGCTTTTTATTTATACGTGAATTAATCTGGAGCATGCTGAATAGAAATAATTGCTTGCTTTCTATTTCATCTTTATTTATCAATTACCTTTTCTTATAGTTTTCATTGGATAAATTGAGTTGACACTAAAAGTATAGGATTTACTCCTTCATGCTTCCCATAGAAACGTATTCATGACAAAATAGCTTTTATTAGACAGAAATAAAATTCCTAACGACTTCTTAGTTTTACGTCTGTAAATCTTCTGAATCGATGAAATTCAATAATTGATTTATTTAGATCATTTCAGAAGAATCCTTTTACAGCTGCCTGCATGAACTCAATGTATGCTTTTGGCAAATTGTTAAATCTTACAAATTAATTTGGCTTTGGCATGAAAAGAATCCGGCATCGATTGAAGGTAAAATAAATAATTATTATCATTCTCTTTGTTTTCTTCAATGGGGGATTGCTTTTTTTAAATTCAGCTACCCAAGGTGATAGACCTGAGCCAAGCCAAGAATTTCTTATTCAAAAACTCGAAGGCGGATCAAGTCGTTTATGGCATGAAATTCAACAAAAAATGAAAACATTTATTCTCGAAAATAATATGACAACTTTCAAATTTGAAGCATTTATACAAGTACTTAAAGTTGTCAATCGGTAAATATTTTTCTCCGTTGTTCATATCACTAAAATGATAATACATTCAATCTCTACCGATTTAGACTTATGGAAATAGGTGAACAATTCTGTCGGAATGATTCTAGTATACTTCAAGAAGCAATGCGACGACAAAGTATAGTTTATTTTCGTTCATATCATAATGGCCGTTTAGATGAATTGAAAATGTTTCTTGAAAATGAAACTTGGCAACGATGTCCAGTTAAATCAACCTTTCATATAACTCAATTACATGTAAGATTATCTCATAATATAGATTATTCCAAAGAATCCTGCACATCTCTTACATAATGCTATGCATCATTTTTAGAATCTTCCAAACGAGGTAGGCTTAAGACACAGGGAGATAATTTAAATTTTCTAGAACGGGGTGAAGGTTATAATTGTTTCTTTTTTCACGGTACATGGTACTAAAAATAATTTGTTCTGCGTATAACACACATGAAAGTATTTCTTCTGTACATGAGTTTATCTGACAGCTTGTTAACAATAGAATAGAGTTTCAAGCAGTTCGAATGCTTTCTATTTCATTTTTTAGGAATTTCGATTTCTACGTGAAACACCTTCGTTTGGATCCGATTTAGCGACTTCGACATCATTCAATCAGAAGTCTGATCTTGATTTGTTCGATCGATATTTGTATACGGAACGAGAACATCCATTTGATCTCGATCAAACACACGCAGGACTATCATCTTCGCCATCACAATACAGTGATACGAATTCGCTAGAGGCCGACGATTTAAATCTGACCAATGGAAATTCATATTATGTTTGTTAAAAGAAACTTTTTCGGAAATAAAAGTATCGAAAAAAATTCCTTTTTTTTCGCATAGGAAAGAAAAAGTCGATCTCATTCAAATTCATCGACTGAATCAGACATTGAACATGGCCGCGATGAACAAAAAAAATCCTCGACTCTTCATAACCATTCTCGATATCATGAAGGAAAAAATGCACCCACTATTGTTACAAATACAACTTTAAATGTAACCAGATTATTTGGTAAATCATATTGTTTTCTTTTTAAAATAATTTCTTTACTATTTTTTTTTTGCAATTACAGGTCGATATATGGAAATGATCGAAATGCTTAAACCTATTGCATTCGATGTTATTATTTGTATGACACAACTTTTTGATTATTATCTTTATACAGTTTATACATTATTTGCTTGTGATATGGTAAAATTCTTTTCTTTTTATTTGATAAATATAATAATTTGAAATTTACTTTTAGAATGAAATTCCAGCTGATGCACTAAGTAGTAGATTAAGGTATACAATTAAACGAATTAATGATAATTTAATTGCCAATGTAAGACAAAATATATAAGTCAAAATGATGAATTTAACATTTTTTTCTTTTGATAGAATGATTCAGAAGCAGCACGTCATGTAAGTAGAAATTTGAATAGTAATCAAGCGTATGTAAATCGATTATTAAACTCGATAGATTCGATAATATACTAATTGAGTAACACAGATTTTTTGAGTGAAATAAGCAGCATATGAAAAATTATTCTACCGTTTTTCTAATGTTGATATGAACGTATAATAGCCTACGAGACATAAATATCCGTACATTATGTTGGCTAGAAAAAGGAAAACTTCTCAGTCTAGACTTCCTATGCTGCTGCTTGCCCAGAGTAATGAGTAATTAGCGTTAAAAGTAAAACCAGCAGGTTCCATTGTTTTTGATGAAAGTTTTTTTACATTGAGTAGGAACACAAATTTCTTACAGACGCTATGCAATAGGTTGTTTCTCGAAGACTACACTATCACGAAACTTGGGATGCGTACAAAATATCATTTTTTAAACGAATTTAAACATAATTAGAGACTTCAAATAGTTCGAAAGGACTAGATCCGTGTGATTTAGAAAACCTGTCCAACTAAAGCTATATATAGATGCACAAAATCAATGCTTCGTTTCCAGACATTAGAAAAAAAAAATGACGAAGCTATGAAACAACTTCTAATTCTACCTTGGTAGACACCATTTTGTAGTGGTTTTAATAAGAATCTCACATTTCATAAACTTTTCGAATGTTGCATTTTTATGAAACTATTCGAGAACTTTTTCATTTTGAGACTTGACGAAGTTAAATATTTTATAAATAGGAAAAAATAGCCGCTGCTCATTTATCACCATTAGTGGATCTAAATGGGCCTAGAAGTATTCTCTATGGTCTTCCACCACGCATTGTTGCTGCTGAATCACTTGTTTTTCTTGCCGAACAATTTGATTTTCTTCTTCCGTATTTAAAATTAATGATACCGTCGGAACGTCACGGATTTTTAACTCAATTCTATTCTCAAACTATTCAAGTAACACACGAATTACGTATTCCAATTTATCATAATGTATCAGCGAATATTCTTGATTATATGTCAATTGCATTAATGATAAGTAAAGTTAATTGGGATATAGGAGAAATTCTAACACAACATAATGTCTATGTTGATAAACTTGCGAATGAACTACAAACGTTTCGAAATCAATTCGATCATATTAATGAACAATTATTACCAGTACCAAAAGCTGTTTATAGAACAATATGGGATCAAATATTAGATAAAATATTTTACACTATGGTCGAAGGGTACGATTTTTGTCTTTTAGGAAGAACTGATTTTAAAAACAAATTGACATTTTTGTTTTGTTTTAGATATGCAAGTGCAAAAAAATGTAGTAATGAAGGTCGAGCATTGATGCAACTTGATTTTCAACAATTACTTCGAAGATTAGAGCGGATTATTGGAGATCTCAAGTATGTTTTAAAGAAGCTAATAGAAAGAATTCCAAAAAGCTAGCATTGCTACCCATAGATATTGTTCGGTAGTCGTTCGTGAGGATGTGAAATACTATTTTCGATTTTTAAAAAGATATAGCAATTCTTAAATCAATATAATTCTTTTCTCTTAAACTCTTACTTCTCAATTGACATTCGAATAAGCTAGAAATTAAAGAAAAACGAGCGAAGCTATCGACTCCTCGCTAACACAATTATACTTTACTTCGCTACTTCATTTGATCTTTATTGAATAAATGTATCTTTTGACTGTATAATTGAATTTACTACTCATCGAAAACTGTAATTAATGTTGTTGCGTGTCGAAAGAGTCTTTTTCGGTAGTAACTGAACTATAGGGCGTATATGCAACGCATGGATGAATCAAATCATATTTTGATATCTAATGTAAACTTCACGAATCTTCCACGTGTCTATTGCTAGAAAATTTCAACTTTCAACTCATAGCGATATATGTATGAGTCAGGATTCTTCAGAATGCGATTGGTTTAAAAGTTGAATTCAAGTTTAGTTGACCTTATATTCTTATCAACATAATACGCAAAAAGACTTATTCTAAAAATATATATATATTCTACTGTATACGAGATAATATTGATCTATATCGAAGCCCTTTCTCTTCGAAAGAAATCTACAACATACATTTTCGTCTGCATTCGAAACTATGATCTCAGAAATCTAATATTCATTTAGACCTTTGCCACATAAAGAATTCGTTGAAAATTACATCAAAGCATATTATTTACCTGAACAATCAATTGATCAGTGGGTTCGAGATAATACGGTAATAGAAAATATCGCTCTTTATTCTTTTATTTATTTAATGTTGATATAGATGTATACAATAAAACAACGAATGGCATTAATATCAATGATGTCACTTTTAAGTAGAAAGAAACGTGCACAATTAACGCAATATCTTGATGAACAAGAGCGATCTCGTACTCCAGTGCTGACATCTTAATAGAACATATATAGGCATCATTCCGTTTAATTTATTATTTAATTTATTTTGTGCAATACTTTTGTTCATTCCGAAGATTCTTTTGTTTTGTCGTCTTTTGTAAATATAGACATCTTATCTTTTATACCAACTAGTCATCGCCCCTGGGCTCCTGTTTTGTTATCGTCATCATTAACTCGTATAAAGAGAATTCGTCGGTTTTTTTTCGCAAGATATTTATTATTGAATGTCTATTTGATTTATAATAACAAATTCTAGAAATAAATCATATTGATCATTATATTTATTGGAATTCTATTCATAGATGGCATCGGCCTTAAGATCATATAATAGATTTGTGTTAAAATCTCCTTTACTAGCGATGAGCTTAACTACAGGTATGCAAACGATGAAATCTTGAAACAAATAAAATTTAATTAAAACTAGGAACAACGATGGGCTTGGGAAATATTATTTCTCAAACAGTGATTGAAAAACGAACAATAGATACTGTTGATTGGGGTCGTGTTGCTCGATTTTCTGCTTTTGGTTGCATCGTTGCGGTATAAATAGATATACTTAAAGAACTGATATTTGTTCAATAGATTGTATTTTTTGTTTGTATTAGGGGCCATTTCTTCGATATTGGTACTATGGATTAGAAAAATATTTTGCTGGAGTTCGATTTAAACCTTTGAAGATGATGATTACGGATCAGGTGAATTGTTTTCACTGAAAACAAACAAGAAGCTAATGTCCTACTTTTTCGTATATGTAGCTCATTGCCGCTCCATTTCTTAATGTGGCTTTTTTATATTACTTCCCATTAGCGAGTGGAAAATCTATGTCTCAAGCGACGGATCGTTTTTGCAAGGTAAGTCAAATAAAATATAAGATAATGAGCATAACAACGGTTTTATGGATAAATCGTGATTGGAAAATTTTCAGACAACTAGGCGTAATGTTTAGAAAAGCTCAGAAAACATTGTCAAAGATGTTTTTATTTAAAAAACGGACAGAGAAGAATTGGTAACATTTTCTAGAAGTTTTTTTATCATCAACTTGAGATTATCAGCCGGTGTAGTAAAATTTTAGTTAACTTTTGTTTAAATGACTTCATGAAAAATACACTGAAAAACTTGCTTTGAGATATGAAAAGTTGTCGCGAGAATACTTAGTAGTTAAACTTTTCTCTTCATCTTAACTTTGAATATTCAAAAAAAATTATTGTTATGACTTTTCAAAGGATTTTCCAACTGTTATGAAAGGTAATTATTGCGTATGGCCTGCTATTCAGCTAACGAACTTCTATTTTATTCCTATACAACATCGGTAAGTTGAAAATTGCTTTGAAAAATATTGGCAGATGCATGTCATTCTTGTTTTGTTTTTAGTGTTCTCTTTGTGAATATTTGTTCAGTAATGTGGTCAACATTTCTTGCATATGTTACAAAATGATCAAATTAATTGTTGTGATAACTTTAGCATAAGATTTTTCGGTGCTATTTTTGATTTTTTTTCTGAAGTAATTGTTAGTGATACATAGAAATACGATTGATTTATAGATGCGCAAACTGTAGTAAAATAAAAACTCCGATTTTCAATTGACTCTATCGTTGTTGATAGAAAAGCGATAGGATGATTTGGACTCTTTATTTCATTTGCTCCCTGTAGTTAGGGTAAAGTATGTACGTGATTGTTCGCTGGTGATATTGAAACAAAAATGTGTATGACTCAGATTGCAGCGCATACTACAATCAAATACATGGTGTCCATTGAGGTCGTGTTACATTACGTAAACTCAGTTTCACGGCGTCATTCACTCATGAAACAATTGGATTCATCAGTGGTGTAAAATAAATTGCGTTGAAACTTTTCTGAAACTCGTAGGTTCACCTCTTCATAGAGAGAGAGAGAGAGAGAGAGACAGACAGAGTAGGCATTGAAAATTTGGTCGACGTTCACCAGTATTTGAAGAATACATCGAGTTCCACCATTACACACGAGCGGATTGTCAAGAGAGATACATCTGCTGTCATGCTCACAAGAAAATAGAGATGGAACTAAGCATCAACCCAGTAAACTTTTGAAATCGTCAATCATGCCGTACCAGCTGCCCATAAGTTTGATTGATGAACATAATAAATTTTTGGCAAAAGTATGTTATCTGCTGGTTGTCTTCTAGATTTCGCATAACTATTTAGAGAAAGTTGTGAACATAATCTATGGTTATAGCAAATCCATTCAGGTTGAGTATATCACAGATGCATGTGAAAATAGTGTGAATGTAAAAGGTGACATGTGTTGAAAGTACAGTTTATCTCTTTGTGTGTCACATACCTGTGCAGGATATAAATGAGCATTATGATTGGGTCTATCATAACAGTCGTCAATGTCGCATGCAAACCAAGTAGGTGGTGGGCACAATCGATCTTCACAGACTGGCGTAGATACAACCTCCATTGTAGTAGAATGTTTTAACGATGTGGTCGTTTTTCTTATTTATATTCGAAGTGGTAATGATTACTTCATTCTCCATTTATAATCGAATTCGAATTAGGCAACTCATGGATATTTACGTGGTTTCTATGACAAAATCAGATGTTTCGGAAAATAACTAATCCAAACTATAAGATATTTATTAACAAATAGCTATATTCAATATAGATCAAACTATGTCCATATAAAAGCGCCGTAGCCCTTCAGTTCATTTTTTTAGGAAAAGAATAATGAATACAGTTAGCTAATTTAATTTATGTTTTTAATGCATTCATCAATTAGTATAGCAGTAAGCAACATTTTGTTTTCATGATGAATAACTTCTGCATTTTTATTAGATGAAAAACAAAACTCAATAATCTTTATTGATTCGGTATTAGTATTTAAGTATAAATTCATTTATATCAAAATCTCTATTCAATGTAAGTTAACATCATTAATACATGAACACTTGATAACCGACAATTCATAAGAAAGATGCAACGTGCTATAGAAGATTCTAACTTATTATGTATTCTTATTTAAGTACATAGTTAACATTGATCATGATCAATTTTGATTATTGGAATTTTTTATGTCAGTACATATAGATTATGAAAAAATTGAAATAAAAAATTATCTGCTGCTTTATTTGTTTGTGTGTGTGTGACAAAAAAATAAACATCTTATAATAATAATAAAAAATACAAGGAAAAGAAGAAAAAGCTAAAAATTGTTCAAATAATATCTGGCTGTTGTTGTTTTTTTCCGCGAATACTAATATACGGCCTTCGAAGGAGTAAACATGGAGATGTTGATTCTAAAAAAATAATTTTTACAATATGAATTAATGAGGAAATTTAGATTAATAAATATTTCATTGTCTGGCTTTCGACTTAAAAGAATTTGCAATAAATATATGCATTGACCCAAAATAGAAAACGTTATCGCTATTTGTTTTCTTCAAAATCTGAGATAATCAGTTTCAGAAACAGAAATTCCATGTAAAAAATCGGAATAATTGTTCATTGAAGTAATTTTCCAAGAGTTCACTAAATGTTCTAATTACAACAAAAACACGAAATCAGTAAACTTCGAGATCAATCAGAGCTAAATCCTCTTTAATTTGCGCTGTAAACTTAACTAATGCTAAATTGTTGCATGGAGAGATGTTTCAAAATCGAAAAGTACTTCATCATCACATATCGCAACAACTACATGTGATGAATAAAAACTTAGAAAATAAGAGCTATTCGCTGCAACATATTCGTCAATGTCGAAAGAACGTCAACGCAAACAAAAACGTTGTGTTGCTTGTAATATTAAGTTTTTAATAGAAAACAGTAGTAGAAGTATGCATAGATTTAGAGTTTCTGCAATGCATATGATCATATGTACCAATATAAGGACGATTTTTCACATTACCATATAGTGAAAGAGTTTGAAAAAAAAACTTAACAACAATCAAATTTTCAGGTAACTTCCCATGTAGTCAATAATGGATGAATAATGGAAAAATGACCCATTATTTTCCATTATTTAAAAATACATTGCATTCCTATAGTAATATAATGCATTGAAATGTCCATTATTTCCTATAATCGGCTACATGGGTTATGAACTCGAATAAATTCAAATTAAGCTTTTTATCATCTTACCACTAATTTGTTTTAAATCATTTTCATCATTTGTTTCATCATTAATTACTTCCAATAATTTCATCTTTGATTGTGCCAGTAAAATATTAAAATGTTCTTTCGTCGTACGTATATTTTCAATCCATTGTTTAGATGACGACGATTGAAATAAATAACCACATTCGATGATCTTATACCCATGCCGATTGTTCCAGTCACCGGATACGGTAGAAACCGGCCGGAAAGATCCGGAAAAGTCACCGTATTCTGGAGGAAAATTTTCGCAGTTTTTCTCGATGATTTCCTGTTGATTCCTGCGGGAAAGCACTGGAAGTTGACCAGAATCAATCGGAAAATTTCTGGAATTTACGACCGGAATACTGCTTCCACTTTCCATCGATTTCCTGTGTTCTCTGATCGTTTCCCGCCGTACCGCCACGACCTGGGTTCGGACAAGACTATTACAACAAATGAAGCCTGAAAAAGAAGATATTTCTTGAGAAGAAGTGTCATGCAGAGCAGGATTCGCTAAATTGGACAACAAATAATCCAAAAAACAGTTTAGTGGTGGGTGGATTGTTTCTTTAAAATGTTTTTTAATACTTACTGCAGTTGATGCTGTATTATTATTATTATTGCCACTACCCATGTCGTGAAAATCGTCGCGATTTTGGTGATTGATCAAAAAATGAACGTAAAATTGCGATTAACCGTACTTTCTTTTTTTTCGAGATTATTCATGTATCAATTGCATCAAACGTCTCTGATTAGAAGACTACAATAATTCGGCAAATCAATAAAAGTTGTGTTTGCATATAGATTTTGTTTTTAATTTCGACGTATCGACTAGTTAAACTGTCTTTTTTCAAGAATATAAGCAAATCAAATCTATATCAATATAAATTTTGGTTATAGGAAGAAGAAAAAGAAAGAAACACTTTAGTAGATTTTTAAACGAACATATATTAAAGAAAGAAAGAAAGAAAGAAAGAAAGAGAAGTAGAGAGATAGAGAGAAAGAAAGACAGAAAGAAAGAAAGGGATGAAACACGTGTACATAAACTAATCAAAGGAACAGGAAAGCGAAAAGGAAAGAAAATTATAGATATACGTACAAAGTGTATGCAATTCATTGGGTGTGGCTGTGGCTGTAAAGGATCTCTTGACCCACGCCCAAGCTTTGTCAGATCTTTTCGGAAAATATTTTTTTAAAGTGACATGTTAACTTGAATTTAAATTATTGATTCATTATGAGTAGCTAGAGTGTGTTATATACACCTACCAAAATACTAGGTATTCTGATGCTGCTGAAATTTGATCAAATGACACAATATAATACAAGTATATCAGATCCAAAAATCAATAATTTTCGAATTGAAATATACTACAACATTCTGAGGTGAGGTCTGGTGAAGAGAAGTATCACGTTCACACCCAACACCAGAAAACAAATACTCTTGTCTACATAGTTTTAAACAAAATTGGTGCATTGTAATCTTTATTTCGAATATGAATTCTATAAATGACACAGCAAGTTTTTTCAAGAAATAAAACTTAACATGTGTCACAGTTAACATGAGAATTTCAGTTGAGATTGGAATGCGTGAAAAAATAGAAACCCAGGTCGAACATTACGGTGATCTGATACGATCGTAAACGGCCGTATACGGCAACGTTTACTACCGTTTTATAACGTTTCCGACCGTAAATCGCCGTAATTCGACGTTTTGGCATGCACCGTATTACGGCCGTATTTCGCCGTGTCGTAAACGGTTACTAACGGCCGTAATGTGGTCGGATATTGCAGTATTCGACTGTATACGATCGTATATGGCACGATGCCAAACGACCGTAATACGGTGTATACCAAACAGCCGTAAATTGTGGCCAAACGGCCGTGTACGACAAAAGTTGATCGACCTGGGAAATATCATTTCTGACAATGAAAAACACAATGAGTCGTTTCATAAAGATTATACTACGTTTTTATGTAGATACTTTTCGTCGAAAGCTGTAAAAATGAAGTTGATAGATTGTGTTGTCCTTCTGTGGTAATTTTTACGATCAACGTTTTTCACATTAGTTATTCTTCAACCTTGTAGTCATCCATCAAGCGTAATTTTTAATTTGTAGGCATTATAACAAGAAAATCGTATTCATTGATGAAAAACATATTATATAACTGCAATGAAACAACCGCATTCTTCATATGCAGTAATTCACAACGTCGAACTAAATTGAAATCTAATTATAGGGTAAATTAATCATTTTACATATCTATGTAATCATGAATAATGTGAATCCGAGAACGATATGGACTACTCACGCTTATTTCATTTGACTAGTGTTAGTGTTGATACGAACTGATTATTGTATGACGATTACATTAAATCAAACACGTTTAACTACAATACGTGTAACTATTCATTTTTATTTACTATAATGTTGAAGAACAAAACATTTTCTCATTGGGATTTTGGAACTAGAAGCGATTAGAGATCATTTTACTGATTGAAATATTTTTTTCGATATTTTCAATAATGAACATTGTTGAAAAAGATGTACCACGTAGCCGTGTTCTAGGATAATGCAAATAGAATTTTTTTCCACTAAATGACATATCTTTCGATAAGAAATATCAACTTTTGTTCAATCTTCTGAACATAACTAGTTTCAATCATGCTTATTTAGATGAAAGGTTTTCACTTCGTATTGTCAAAAATGCAATTGTACCATTTACTATTTGATTCTTTTTTTCTCTATCAACAAAGATGAACTTTTAAGGTGTTCTTTTAGTCTTTTCAAGAATAAACTTGCTATTTTGAAATAGTTTTCATTGACTGTTAAATATATGTTGATTTATTTGTTTTCATAATCAAAATTTCTTACCATCACAGGAAGATATTCAATGTATAATTTTCGCTATTTTCTAATGAAAAATGTATGCCAAAGATAAAAGATCGTCAATAAATGTTGTCGGTGCATATACGATGTAACACGACAACATAAAAGATCAATTAGCGGTCTAGTCAATATTACAAGATTTGTTTTTTTGTCACTCTTAGGAATGCTTCTGATCTTTACGATCGATTGCACAACAATCAATTAAACCATCAAAAGACCACTTTATGTAGTGAGCGGGAGGTTAAATTTTACAAACAGAAATGAAATTCATTTGATGCTGATTGCTTACCAATTGTCTATTTCTCACGAATAACAAAAATGACTATAAATAGTAATGATTTTCAACGTTAGAAATCATTCCCCATCTTTCTTTCTCTTTTTACTATATTACATGTATTTTTTATTTTTTAACTATTTTAGCTTGTATTCATACTGGCTATGGTTCAATAGCATAGGTAAATATTAGTTTTAGTTCTTTTATTTTATTTTTTTGTTGTCTCATCTTTTTATCCCATTTATTTATTTTAATTTTATATAATGATAATTGTCTTTCTATTATCTATTTTAGTGATACAAAAAGTAAGTATACTTTTGTATATATTGTATATATTTTACGTCTTACGGAGGCCTTCCATACATCGGCGTGAAAACTGGCCAAGCCTATCTTGGTGCCCATAGCACGTACAGGCCGCATATAGATCTTCCTGTTG